CCCCAAAACCCCAAAACCCCAAAACCCCACATAGAAAACAAGATATTGAGAATTATTTATTATGAATCTTTTAGTTTTATCTTTGGCCTAATGTTCATACATGTCAATTCCTGTAACAACAGTTTACAAGCATATGGCATCTTAACACTGTACACATTTGATTTATCTTTACAGAAGTTACAGAAATTCTTATAGCCAAAGAATCCGCATTTATCTCACACATTGACATCTCAGACATCACTTGAGATCATGAGTCTTTCATTGAGTAGACTTGCTGCTCCATAACCAATGAGACAGTCTCTTTCCATTTCTCCAAGTCTCTGTCCTCCACCTCTGGATCTTCCCTCTGTTGGCTGTCTTGTGAGTGAGGTCATTGGCCCTCTAGCCCTTGCATGCATCTTATCTTGGACCATGTGTTTTAATCTCTGATAATAGACTGGACCTCAGAAAACATAGCAATTTAGTGGCTCTCCAGTGATTCCAGAAGTGAGGTAATCCTTTCCAAAATATGAGTATCCGTGTTTTACCAGAAGTTTCCCCATATCTTCCACTTTATCTCCGGCGAAGGCAGTTCCATATTTCTGTTCACCCTCAAGAACACCTGCTTTTCCCGCCATGAGCTCTATCATTTTTCCAACTGTCATTCTGGATGGGAAACCGTGAGGGTTCATGATTAAGTCTGGGCACCATCCATTTTCAGAGAATGGCATGTCTTCTTGAGGCACGATGATACCAACAACTCCTTTCTGACCATGCCTGGAACTAAATTTATCCCCGAGTTCAGGCCGCCTTGTCTGTCTTGCTATCATTTTGACTAAGAAGTGTTTCTCTGGGTTCGAGGAAATCTGGATTCTGTCAACATAGCTGGGAGCCCCACCCTTATATGATTCTGGAGATGGATTATACTCAACTGAAGAATGTGGCTTGTTCGTTAGCAGCCTATCGTCAGACTCTACTGGAGAGTACTTGTTAAGCCAAATATCTCCTTTTGTCAGTTTAGATCCAATTTTAGCCATACCATCTTGGTCAAGGTTGTGGAACCTTTGTAAGTTCCATGGAAGCTCTTCTTTGCTCTTGCCTTCAATCTCTGCTGGAGGTTTTGAAGAGATGTCGAATGATCTGTCTGCATATCTTTTCATGTTGCTCTCGTGCCTCCTAATGTAAATAGCTCTCCCAAAGCCTCTATCTACTGAGGCTTTGTTAAGTACAATAGCATCTTCGATATCATATCCTGAATAACTCATGATTGCAACAGAGGCGTTTTGTCCAGCAGGGAGTTTTTCATAATTGATCATCTCAATTGTCTTAGTCTTAACCATTGGCTTCTGATTGTACACCAACAAGAGCAACAGAGTATCAACTCTGTTCATCTGGTTATAACCAATAGATCCAATAGCTTGCTTACCCATAGCACATTGGTAGGTATTTCTTGGGGACTGGTTATGATGAGGATATGGAATCAGACCAGCGACACACCCAAGAATTGTCAAAGGATCTATTTCAAGATGTGTCGTGTTCAATGAAATATCCTTCTCCGATAAAGCAATCAGGGTGTTATTCTCCTCATTCACATCAATATACTCTATTTTTCCTTCTCTGATGCAATCATTGAAAGTACGAATTCCCATGGAGACTTCATCGATATCAATCTGAGTAATGAGAGGGATCCTGTTTTGTACAATAATCAGAGGTCTGACTAATCTGCCTCCATCACAGGCGATCTGGATAGTTGATTGGAGCTTGGATCCTGGTTTAGACTGCTGGAAATAGATGGACACAAATTCGTTAATTTTTCCTTTCCTTCTTAAAAATCTAAAGTCTCTGATAAACTTTTGTGGGTTCCTGTGGACTCCCATTGGGACACCATTGATAAAGATCAGAAATGTGTTCTCATCATATAGCTCGGTTCCTACGAGGAGGTTGGCATCTTCCATTCCGAGGTTGAAGCATAAATCCACAAGATACTTAACAGGCTGATCTGTGGTGACATGAGTAGTCAGAGCTAAATTTTTGACTAGACCACAAGACTCTCCTTCAGGAGTGTCTGACGGGCAGAGAACTCCCCACTGGGAAGGCTGCAAAGATCTTGGTCCAGATACCTTTCTCGTCTTTTCGAATTGTGAGTTAATCCTTGTCATCATTCCTAAGGCTCAGATGAATGAGAGTCTTCCAAGGACTTGTGTTACTCCTGCTCTTTCCATTTTGAATCTTTTAAGTGACCAGTTCCCTGTAGAGATAGCATTTTCAAGTGCAGAAGAAATGAAATCGTGGTTAAAGCATGTGCTAGCATCAAAAGGCTCTCTATTCTTCTTGTTAGGAAGACTCTTGTTCACTTGCTTTTGGATATCGGACTGGAATCTCTTGAAAGTGTCTTCAAAAAGAAGAGAAACAAGCTGTCCGGCTAACTCAAGTCTTTTGTTTCCGTAATAATCTTTATCGTCGATTTTGGATGGATCTTCTTTGGCCTCGATGATTCTCCTTATCATTAAAGCTATGAATCTGCACTTTTGAAGGAGAGAGTTGTTACTAACTTCAATGTGAGGCAAGATAACATCTTTTAGGATATCAAAGGCTTCATCTCTTTTTGATTTTACAATCGCATTAGGCCCAGATCTGTTAATTTTTGATTTTATCCTTGCTCCAATATAATTAAGTGCCTGCTCCTGAGTCAAGACATCTTTCTTAGAGCTTTCTAAAAGGGAGAGAGACATTTCTTCAAGAAATTTTGGTTGAGTTCCGATGAACTGTGCTATTTCCTGATCACTCTCAATCCCCATTGCCTTGAAAATAATACAAATAGGTATTTCCTCTGTGAAGATGTTTTGCTTCATTGAAAATTTCTCGTTCTTACAGATAACCTCTGCTCGACTCTTGACCAAGTGTGTGGATGAATTAACAAGAGCGACAAAGTTTTGCTTATCATCAAGCTCGACAATAATCCTGTTCTTTGACATTTGTTCCTGAATTAGGATAACTTTCTCAACCCCTCTGATAATGAAGTATCCTCGTGGGTCATAAGGGCACTCGCCTATCTTTGCTAGTTCCTTTTCAGATTTGTTATTGAGCCAGCAATTAGAAGACCCTAGCATTATCGGCATCTGGCCGATCTTGATTCCGTTCTTTTTGATGATATTTCTGCCCCTGGTGTAGGAAATATCCACAGTGATTGGAGCACTGTAAGTCAGATCCCTGAGTCTGCATTCATGAGGCATAATTTTATTGATTACATAGTCCTCCTCAATGCTTGGCATGTCTATGTTTATCTTTTCGAATTTGAGAAAGAAGTTCTCATCCTGGTTTGACCTGATTTCAGAATTAGCCTTGACAATCTCTTGAGCTTCTTGATTAATAAAATAATTAAAGGAGTCAATATGCTGCTTTACGAGTCCTCTAATCTTTAGGAACTCAGGAAGGAGTTTCCACTTGTCCTATAGAGATGTTAGAATTGCCAAAAAATGCACCAGCTCTGTGAAGAGCACTAATAAAATTGAATCTCAAGCTTGCTTCGGAGTGGCACCTTATAAGTCAGATACTCACCTCAACATGCTTCATCTTTAATAAATTATATTTAGTGGATGATTTAAAAAGATTTATAGTCAACCTCGGAGTGTCATAATGGGGTTTTGGGGTTTTGGGGTTTTGGGGTTTTGGGGTTTTGGGG